GACATTGGCGTCCATCTTCACCACCTCTACCGAAGCAATGGGAGAGTCTGCGTCTCCCGCTCCATCTAGCTGCCGGCCCGTACGATTCCCCTCTACTCGGATGTGGTTCAAATGACAATTCTCCTTAATCATCTTAACGCAAGCTTCATTTATGTCGTTTATAGTAACCTTTACGGAGTTACGCAGATGCTTTGCCCACTGCAAACCCATGATGCCTACAGAAGGGATCAATATGTTATGCAAATATGCTTTGTTATACTTTAATTTCTATTAAACAATTTAGAGCAAAACCTGAGCAATGATATCATCATCATGAGCTATTAGCTTGTCTTTATGTACAGTAGATTTCCTACCAGTGGCTCCAAAGGCATCGAGACATTCGAGTGGATTCCTGTCCTCAGCAAGAACGGCGAGAGAGCAGAACACCAGCTGCCTTTAACGGTTACATAGAGATTGAGACTTATTGAAGTATTTGGTCCGTGTTGCGTTCATATATCATTCGAACCGCACCAGAGTTCGTTTGGAAGCTTGTTTGGTGCGCACCAGGGTTCGGACGGCAGCGTTCACACTTACTCAAACGAACCGCACTAACAGAGCAATCGCAATAGGGTTCGTTTTAATCGAACAAAACATGCCATGTGTGAACGCACCCTTAATTATAGGCTTTTCAACAGAATGTCCATGACCCATATATTTTAATTACTTTCTAATTATTTTTCTTTCTAAATTGTATGTATCGTTTATGAAAAAATAAATAAAATATTAAATATTATTTAATTGATAAAATGTTAAAAAAACGTATTAAATCGTTATTATCATTAATATATTAAATATTTAGCAACCTTCAACCAAAGCTGCGAAGCAACAAATACATATTAAATTATTGTGGGACAATGTACACATTAAACAATCTGATAATTTTGCCGAAAAAAAGAATGCAATTCTCAAACCTGTTTGTCTTCATCTTGCGGCTGAAGTAGGTGTCTGTCTTCTGGGGAGTGGTGTGGTTGGGCAGGAGCTGGACATTGGTGCCCAACTCTTTCATGATCTCATAGGCCTGTCCACCTAGGACTGAAGAAGACGCTGAAAATCAAAATGGACAAATTATTTCCAGTTATTGCAGCTAAATGCATATGTGCATATTGTAACGAAGAAAAGTGTTCTATTGTTACAGATGCCTCCTGTGAGACTTTAAACTGCAAGCCAAAGGCCTAATAATCATAAACAACCACAAGGCGATCTTCTACAATATGTTACTCCCGAAGACATTCATCCTGCAATTGTGTGAGTGCCTTATGATTTAGGTTAGATTTGACTATTCTTACCCAACCTGAATACACAGGGTTTGAATTGCAAGAAAAAAAGACACCTCAAAAAAAAATTGAATGGAACTACACAAAAACAATTCCAACATCTACATTATTCCACATGAACAAACTGGCATCTAGTTCAGGCGGTTCTCTTTTAATGCCAATTGTCTCACTCTCTGCTGCGTTGTCAGCACAAATGCACAAATATCTTTCATGTCAGTAACGAGGAAGCATCGTCACTTTAAAAGATGTCACTCTGTCAACATCTACAATGTAAAGGCTCACCAGGGTCTTCAAAGGGGACATCCGAGCTCCCTGAATAGCTGGCTTCTGTCTCACCCTTGTTGATGTGGCGTTTGAGATGACTGATCATGTCTGTCTTGCGAGCAATAGTGACAGAGCAAACCACACAGTGGTAGTGAGCCACCAGTCTGCCTTGAGCCTGGAGATGAGATAAAAACATACCTTAATAGATCCATTCCAGAGGATCTATTTCCTGATTAATATGCACATGAAGAAAAACTTCATAACCCTGATCTCACCTGGTCAGAGCCTAGACTGGACTTGAGTTGTCGGCAAGGTAGATGACAGATGCACATCCTTTGGCCTGTAAAAGGGGAAACAAAGTTAACTTTCCCAAGCAACATTTTATTATTATTACTTATGTATTAGCTGATACCTGAGGCAACAGCTTACAAATGCTTGTTGGAAAAGACCATTTTAGAGGTGCCAAAGGACTAAAGACTATATACCTTCAAATTCCACATAAACTTTCCAGTGCAGGTTCTGCAGATGCCGTCTGAGCTTATGACTGTAACAGGCCTTGAATTTCTCTTCTGGACACAATGGACAAGACTTCCTTCCAGCTGTTGAAATCAGTAAACATATTTGTTAGCTTCCGATCCAAGAGGTCTGCTGGTGGTTGTAATAAACACAGAATATACATATACTCTGGTTTCTCTACCTCCATTTAAATCCACAAGCCCTTCGAGCCCTTCCAGTGTTGTTTGGATAGACACATGTCTCTCTGAAACAGAGACAAGACAGTTTCAATGATTTAACCATGCTGAGGGACATTATGCCTGGAGAGTGTAATAAGTTTCATAGGGAGTCAATACGGTTGAATATTTACCTGATATAACAGTGGAGGATGTCTGTCCATTTTTGTCCTCCATTTTCACTGGATTTGTTGAGGCTTCATGAATAGGCATTTGCTCACATGCCTCAGAATCTGCAAGCATTTTATTAGTATCTCTCTCGGTATCTGTTGAGGCACACAGAAATTCACATTTCAGAAAAATAATTGTTGAGACAAACCAGTTTTCCTTTTGCATTAAAAATATTTAATCCATTAAAAAGAAATAATAATAATAATAATAATAATAATAAAAATTGGATACTTTCATGTCCCAAGGTTTTTTTATTTTTATTAAAACAAACAGATTCCAACTTCTTTCTGTTTTATGAAAGCCACATTAAAATTGCCTTGGTATCACATCTTATTTTTTAAAAACTATGATATTTTATTAAACATGGAGTGAAGTAATAATTTTAGCATTTGTTGTGTGAACAATGTGGAATGGTTAGATTACATATACATTTATTACAGTAAATCCTAATTATTACATAAAATATTATAAGGTACAAAGCCATATTTGTTAGATTAAAAAAAATCTAATGACATAAAAGGTCGATTTTTTTATTCTCACATTTGTATTACTTATTATCTCATAATTTCGACTTTTAAGAAATGGGATAGCTTCCGTTAAAGACATTTTATACGAATTGATTATGTTTGGGCTTCTAGTGGTCGGAGAAATTACAAAAAAGTGATGTATGATGGATCTTTGCACACCGATCGCTTTGCAGACACTAGTGGGAAAAAAAAACCTATGAAAATTCAACAACAATACTGGAGCGCCCTCGTATGTTAGCCAAAGCACATTTCCATGGAGTAACCAATCCCGTTTTCCGAGGCTGATGTTTCCAAGCAGAACGGCCCTAGTGCGGAGCTCCGCGACAAGACCATTGCTACATACATAATACTGTTATTTACAGCTTAATGTTCATCTCAGAAAATGCATCGATTGATTTAGTGTTTGTAATCTATCTACATGTCAGTTCTTTGTCGATATGCCCTGAGATACAGAGACGTTTTGAACATTTACATTATTTACACCTAGGTCCTATGGTGGAGCTCCGTGAGGAGGCCTATATTTACCTCAGCAGTTTTGAAGTCATATTAAGGACAAGAGTGTAATAAGTTTCATAGGGAGTCAATACGGTTGAATATTTACCTGATATAACAGTGGAGGATGTCTGTCCATTTTTGTCCTCCATTTTCACTGGATTTGTTGAGGCTTCATGAATAGGCATTTGCTCACATGCCTCAGAATCTGCAAGCATTTTATTAGTATCTCTCTCGGTATCTGTTGAGGCACACAGAAATTCACATTTCAGAAAAATAATTGTTGAGACAAACCAGTTTTCCTTTTGCATTAAAAATATTTAATCCATTAAAAAAAAATAATAATAATAATAATAATAATAAAAATTGGATACTTTCATGTCCCAAGGTTTTTTTATTTTTATTAAAACAAACAGATTCCAACTTCTTTCTGTTTTATGAAAGCCACATTAAAATTGCCTTGGTATCACATCTTATTTTTTAAAAACTATGATATTTTATTAAACATGGAGTGAAGTAATAATTTTAGCATTTGTTGTGTGAACAATGTGGAATGGTTAGATTACATATACATTTATTACAGTAAATCCTAATTATTACATAAAATATTATAAGGTACAAAGCCATATTTGTTAGATTAAAAAAAATCTAATGACATAAAAGGTCGATTTTTTTATTCTCACATTTGTATTACTTATTATCTCATAATTTCGACTTTTAAGAAATGGGATAGCTTCCGTTAAAGACATTTTATACGAATTGATTATGTTTGGGCTTCTAGTGGTCGGAGAAATTACAAAAAAGTGATGTATGATGGATCTTTGCACACCGATCGCTTTGCAGACACTAGTGGGAAAAAAAAACCTATGAAAATTCAACAACAATACTGGAGCGCCCTCGTATGTTAGCCAAAGCACATTTCCATGGAGTAACCAATCCCGTTTTCCGAGGCTGATGTTTCCAAGCAGAACGGCCCTAGTGCGGAGCTCCGCGACAAGACCAATTCTACATACATAATACTGTTATTTACAGCTTAATGTTCATCTCAGAAAATGCATCGATTGATTTAGTGTTTGTAATCTATCTACATGTCAGTTCTTTGTCGATATGCCCTGAGATACAGAGACGTTTTGAACATTTACATTATTTACACCTAGGTCCTATGGTGGAGCTCCGTGAGGAGGCCTATATTTACCTCAGCAGTTTTGAAGTCATATTAAGGACACATTGCATAAAAATACAAAATTCCTAAATGCGGAGTGCTATTTAAGGAACCTACAAAACACGTCGGAATCCTTTTATCATTATTAATTCGAATTATTTTGCCTTTTATATTGGCGTCCTCCTGGTGAAGTTGCTCAGCGTCCTCTTCCCTGAGCTCCGCCATTTTCCCAAACTAGCGTACGTAGAATCCGTACGCATCACGGTACGCATTGAGCGTTGTGGGCGCGCACCCAATCGTTTTCTCTCAAACTACGTAAACTAGAGAGAGCGGAAGTGAATTCAACCAGCCGAATGCAACGCTAGTTGAGAAGCGAACAGCTGTCATTGCTTCAGAATTTTCTTCTCTTTTGTTATTTAGCGTCGTATTTAACAACATTCCTCCTGCTTGTGGTAGGTAAATCTCTTTTACACGGAAGCTGCAGGAAATAAAAACGTGTAGCAGTCTTGAATTCCCTGTTTCTTAGTATGATAAGATTTGTCATTTGTAAACAGTTAGGAAGGTCAGGACAAATGTGTTGTATTGTAAACATTCGGTTGACATTATTGTCACAAGTGTATTTCAGTGTGACCTAAGATGTCACATATTCATAAGTTCCTACATATTCACTGAGGAGATTTAATTGTTGGTGGTGTTTCAGTTCAGTAGGTTTGCATTGGTGTTATCTGTTCCTCAAGGATGAACTGGATTTCTGTCTGGGATTTGCTGATATGCAGCTCTTGGGAGAAAAACTCTTTTCCTTGTACTTAGTTCTTACTAGAAGGGCACTCTAAGGTACTACATTTTTGTATGAAAAGTACTTTGTAAATAAAGTTTTTAATGATATCATTGTAGCAAAAATCTGTATGTAAATTTTAAAATTTAAACGTAGGACTCCTTATCTTTCTATATTTTTTCCTATTAGTTTGCATTATGCAACAGAGTTTTGAATAATAAAAAACGCACCCAAATGTCATATTTCTAATTTGTTTTTGTTTTTTTTCAGTTTTAGTAACTTCAACTTGTTTTCAGTTAGATGCCAATTTTCTTGTATTTTAAAAAATATTTATATTTTATTTCAGCTTTATTTCAATTAATGAACTTTTTTTTCATAATTTTAGTTTTAGTACAATTGAAGTAATATGTTGTAAATGCCATTCAGCACTACAGTTTTACTGCTCTCCTCTTTAAAAGTAATGAACAGCCAACATGTGGATTTCTTACATTATACACTGTATTTTTAATTTTTTTAATTACATTTTTCAAAATTGAAAAATATTATGTTCTGTCATAGGGTTCTGAGGATGTCAAACAAGAAATCAAAGAAGAAGAAACAGAAAAGGGAGGAAATAATCCCATCAAACTCTTCTCGTGACCGTGAGAAGAAGGTGAGAAATCTGCAACAAAATCGGAGTAGATTTTAATCTAGTTATTCCTAGCATATGATTTATGGTAAAAAAAATTCGACGCGTTTCAGAAAGGCGGGGCATAGAGGAGAAACAAAAATATACAGTATGGGGAAAATAATGTTGTTTTTTTTACTTTAAACCGCATAAACACATTTCATTACACCAAATACACAAAATAATGTTCTTTTTAGCAACATCATATGACCCCTTTAAGCCCTTGTCATATGCATCAGTCATTCACTTGTCCAAGTAAAAAGGTTACTTGGATCTATTTATTTATTTGTTGTGTAAATGTAATTTATTGTGAAGCAATATTCTCATCAGTGATCTGTGAGCTCTTACTTAAATCGGTTTTCTTTAATAAAGGTCTGTTTTGTTTCTTATTAAATCTGTGTATCATCTTTCATGTCAAATTCACAAATTATCAATAAAAACAGTTAGAATAAGATGACACTATAGGGTTGTTACCAATCATATGAAATCAGTATCAACGAAATTCATCTTTCCACTGCAGAGGAAACACAGAAGCTGCATCTGAAATGGCATTTAGATGCATTTACACAGAAGCTCAGAAGTATCATGAATGCATTTATGTTGCAAAATTACAACTGCATGAATAACGTTATGAGAATAATATTTAAAATCTAATTTTGTGAATATACAAATAGGAAATGCTGGAAAAAAGCAATGATGCTTGAATATAAAACTAAACCGCCAGTAGGTGTCGGCAAGTGACTGTCTTAATGAGTGAATCATTCAGTCATTCATTCAACCGATTTGTTCAAACGGCTGATGCATTCAAGTATGAAGTAAGTAACTATGAATATGTCCATTTGTACCACTGACTCACACAATTCGTTCGAAAACGCTGAATCATTCATCGACGAAAGAACATAGTCTGCTGCTCAAAGATGTGCAAGTTCTGCAGTATATTTGTTTGGAACTCTTCTCGTTGGCGAGATAAACTGTCATTATGTCTAAAATGTAAGTCACTTTAAATTAACAGTTGTTTATTGAACTGTTTTATAAAAAATCAATGTCACATTTGCAACCGAGCTTATAATTGTGCCGTTGTTTAACTATCATGTTATAAATATAAAAACTCAATATTTTGACTGTACCGCAGTATGTTTGTTTTCTTTCCTCTTTGTGTGCTGTTGCCCTTATTTGATTTGATTTCTCTCACAGACAGGTTGCAAGAGCCTCAACTGGCGCTACTTTGTTATCGTAATTAACTTACATGATGTAGTATCAAACGCCGTTATAAAACAAGAACTATTCTCACCGAAGTTTCTGTGTTTTTTTGGTTAGTTTTTTTTTTTGGTTGCTGACGTTTTAATCAGCCTAAGTTACTTGTTCCGTTGGGCAAGTAAAATTCTTTCATTGCCCCTTCAAAAAAAATCATGAAACCTTTGACTGAAATTGATTCCGTTATAACCAGAATACAATAAAAGTTGATGATAAAAACAGTAATGCGTTTAATCAATGATTACTTGTTATAGGATTCTGCATTTTAAATCTGCATTAAGCAAATACAGTACTTCACATGCGATGGCAAACAATTGCGTAGCACTTCCAAGTGCACCTGAGAGTAAGTAGATGTTCTTAATACAAGTTCATCAGATACATGTCTTGCTTACAGGTGTTATACCATCAGCATTTATTACAGAAGGTCCTGCTTCAGCATAACACAATGTAATAATAGTGCAATGCACAAGTTAAAAAAATGATCAGCATAATTAATGTAAATAAAACATAGAACCTAAACGACAAAAAGTAAATCAGATCACATTTTTATATTTCCACAATCACCGTTTTCTCGCCAGAGTTACCGTGAGAGTTATCTATTCAAGAAAACTTACCACTGACTTATTTTCTAATGATTTGCAGTTCTGACAAAGACAGAGCTAAAGAGAGGAGAGCCACTGACTCAACATCAGCAAGAGGATTTGAAAGAGGATTCAAGAAAGCAAAATTTAGAGACAGCAAGAGCAGGGAAGAAAGATCCCGAGAAAGCCAAACAACAGAGAATTCCAGGCCAGTTTTCAAGTCACCTGTCACACATGAGAAGGAGCAAGTGAATCATAAAGTCAAGCATGAAAAAGCAAGTCCCCATATCTCAGGGAGAAGCTCGAGCAGGCATGCTGCAACAAATCAGCCTTCTTCAAAAGAGTTGGAGAAAAAGAGACAGGAGCTGGTATCGAGGAGATCCACAGCAGAGTATCCCAGGCGGACACCTGCAAAGGATGATTGTTCCCCTGAGAAACCACAAGAGAAAAGGAGGAAACTCATGAAAAGGCCGTTGTCAACAGAGCTTCATGCTGAACCCAAACGAAGAGACATCAAAAACATGACCAATGCTGTACATGCAGAATCTCATTCTGAAGTTCAAAAGGAAACGAGGAAGACGTTGGTGGCCAGGAGGTCCAAGAAGATTGACCATAATGTTGGTGCACAGAGTTCTCAAGGCAACTCCAAAGAAGCTTTGCCAGTAGTGAAACATGTAGGCTCTAAACTGAAATTACCAGAAGATATTTCACCCAAGAAGCTAGATCATGTGCAGTTGGGCAATGTCCCCGGTGTAATCTTAGGAGAAAAAAGGCCATCCCTGGTTGGTCCCACAGCAAATGTCAGTTTCAAGATCCCAAAGAAGGTCACTGCTGTTAAAGCTTGGACAAACACGGATGTGTGTAATGTGAATTCTTCATATAGCAGGACTCAAAGTACCACTCAGCCTTCTTTCCCTGATTCTACTCCATCTAAACACAAATTTCTCATCTCACAGCAAGGTCAGAGGCTTCAAGAGGTTTCTTCTCGAACCTCTCATAAACCCTCTTCTCTTAGCTTGTCACATCTTTTGTCTACATCTCACTGCAAACCAGTCCAGACAGTCCAGCAGACACACACTGACAAAACAAGAGAGGCCACAACGCCGAGCAATACTTCCTGCAAGGTACAACATGTAAGTGACTCTTCAACCAAACGATTATACACATATTTATATTTTAAGAAATGCATAGAAATAGTAAGGATGACATATTTTCTTCAATTTGATTGTTTTCACTCACTTCTCTTCTAAGCATCTCTATCATTAGTTACTTTCCATCTAGACTGAATCATAAGACAAACTAGTTGTAGCATACACTTGTCCCATTTCCCTCTATGGCTGCACAGTACATTTCAGATTGCAACATAAGAAATATTTCCATACTCTTTAAAAACTTTCATTAGCACTCTTTTCAAGTAAAACATTTAATTCTCCATGAAAAATTTCCACCACAGTTTTATAGCAGAATACAGTCAGATCTGTATAAGAGTTCACTAAAACAGTGGCTATAAGGCTATTGGGGTACCGGTTAACATTATCCAATAGTCCTCAAGGTATTGAAGACAACAAAAAAGAGAATATGGTCAATTTTAGATTGTATTTAAGTGGAAATGACAGTGAATTTGAACATTATTAATGATGCTGAATTGTAACATATCTCTAACATACCCATGTATGATTTCAGGTAACTCTCCAGGAGGCTGCAGAGACCCTTGACTGCGACCACGAGGTTAACAACGTGCCTCTGATTTTAGAATGAAGTCTTGTGGATGTGTATGTTTCTCATTCTCTTTCGTTCATTGTTTAGATGGAGCTGGTGGAGGAGCTTCATCTGGCACGCTCTGAGAGGCGACTGGAGGTGAACTTGATAAAGAACTGCGGAGAGCTCACCTGCATGGACATTGACGCTCCAGAAGAGGGTGCCGGCACAATGCTTAGTAAAGTCACCTATGAATTATTTTTGTGATTGGTGAACAGCTTAGACGGTGTTTCAGTACTGCCCCACCCCTTTTTCCATCATTCAACAAAAGCTTTTGGCGAATCCGGCACTACTCACTCGTGTTGTGGAAGCTGTCCTCAGTAAAATGCGCAGCACACAATAGCAAATTGGGTTATAATGTCCACTTCGCAGGGCACTTACAGTCAAATATAACAAACGTATGAAGCAATAAGAGAAACATACAAAATGTGCAGAGCGGGGGTACGCGAGGACTGGAAATGAGAACCGCTGTTCTAGACATGCCAAAAATTTGAGGCTACAGCACAGCAGCTCTTCTTCTTGGTTTTCTCTGATGCACTAACTCTGCAGCAGCACTTCTTCTTCATCGTCTCGTCTAATGCGCTGACTCAACCTAGCGTTCTAACCACGACCTCGCCCTCCCCACCCCCCAACCATTCGAATTTCTGTAGGCGGGAATTATTTGTAATGATATTCCAATGAGCCGCTTTGTGATATCACAAAGCCCGGAAAACAAACGCTGTAGTCCAAACGAGCCATTTGCTGTATTTCTTGAAAATGGATTTTTAAAAAACTAAATATCTCCCTTTGGAGTGGACTTTGAGATTTGTGAAAAAGCATAATAGGACCCCTTTAAATAACTTATTACTGGAATAGCTAAAGGCCCGTTCACTCTCCAAGAATGATAACTATAAAAATAAATATGTCAGTGTTTGAACGGATGTCAATGTTTTTATCGTTCATCGGCTGGAAAAAAATAATTGCGAAAGTGATTCCAACAATATCCTTGGTGCCGTTATCATCGTAGTTGTTGTGTGGACTGTGCTAGTTATTTACATTTAGAGCGATTTAAAATTATATCTTTATTGTTATCGTTATCATCCTTGGTGTACGGGCCTCAAGTTAGTAATGTCCAGCAGTATGCACCTTGTTGTAAAGATTCTTTTATTTGAATCATGGTGCATAGTTATGCTTTATTGTGTCTTTGTGCGTTTAACTCATACATGTGAAGATCAACATAAACAGGCCCTGCTTATTGTTCTGGATACCAATGTGCTGCTCAGCCACCTGGAGTTTGTGAAGAAGATTAGGTCACATGGTCTCGGTGGTAAGAAAAAAAGAGAGATTTTAAGTCACTAGCTTTTAACTTTAAAACATTGGAAGAATTATGTGGATGCAACATTTCACTCGGAACATCCTCATCACAGGGCTG